TTTTGAAATAGGTAGAAGGTGCGTGTGTGTTTTACATTAAAGTTTTTAAAATAGGTATTTCTAATGAGAAATAAGAGTAAGTGCTTTGGTTCAGCGAGTTGTAAATAAAACATGAGGCATATCGGTTGATTATTGTTAGCATAATTTTAAATATTCCGTAAAGATTTTTTTTAAATGGGGCAACCGGGCAGGAGGCTCAGCAGATGTTGAGCAATACCGCCCATGGACACTCGACTTGCTAGAAGGCTCGCAGGTGTGTTTCCGGCCTTTGAGTGTCTTAAGCTGTCATAAGTAAAGCATCCTCTTTGGTCTAGTGGTTAGTTTATTACATAAGGTCTCAAATTCAGTAAGATGTTTGACTCTATTTGTGCCTCTAATGAGTACATTAAAATCGGACTTGCTCTCGAGACCCTCCAGTCTTGTCTCTTGGATCAGTTTCACTTATAAATATACGGAATAGGTATAACAAACGCGCTGTGGGGATAGCCATGTACTGTGAAGAATTATATATGACGGAGTGATATGAGATTTAAGTATGGCATAGATGATCGACGGAAAAACAGGGAAAGATTGGCAAAGGACTCGGAAGGAGAATCATAACAAGAAAGCAAGACTTGAATTTTAACAAAAACACCGATTAAATTTATATTCAAAATAAAAATAGGTAAAAAAACTTTTTAAGTTAAACGGTTTTATGTTAAACATACATTGCAATGTTTAAGATAAATGTACTAAAAACCAAAAAATAATAAAATAGATACAGTCGTGGGAATTATAAACATATGCATAGACTAGACTAAAATAAAACCGTAGGGCACGTCAATTGTCTACAATCGTTGATTAAAATGTTTGTTTTGTAATGTTACACTATAATTAGGCAGTTGTTCAACCGACAACGATGGACGTGTGATAAGTAGGGCTAGAATGTGGAAACAAGCTAGCAAGCTCGATTATAAGCGAGTTTTAGGGTTTCATAGTGGTGAGCGAGTAGTACTTTTATCATATGTTTTGTCGATTAAAGACAAATTACGAGCAGTGAAACGATTCCTCGCCAGCCAGCAGTGTGAATGTCCAACGATAAACTAGTTGAAACATCTCTTTTATTTACATGGAGTGTATAACTATTGGAATTTCCATGAGCAAGAAAATAGTAAGTAATTTCAGGACGTCTGCGGGCCAACTGCCTATTTTAACGACGAATTAAACGATTCTTCTATCGCACATTAAGTCGATAATTTGTAGACAATTGACGTGCCCCACGGTTTTATTTTAGTCTAGTCTATGCATATGTTTATAATTCCCACGAATGTATCTATTTTATTATTTTTTTGTTTTTAGTACATTTATCTTAAACATTGCAATGTATGTTTAACATAAAACCGTTTAACTTAAAAAGTTTTTTTACCTATTTTTATTTTCTAGTTTTTAGTTTTTATTTCGCATTCTGTTTAATTCATTTAGTGCTTCATTATTGCAAGGTCCCTTGCCAGTTAGTTTATATAAATAAATCAATTCTATAATATAAATATAATATATATTTAATTAATAAAATAGATAAAGTTTTAAATATAATGTTATATATATATATATTTATATATTATATAATATTTATTTTTTTATTTATTTTAATTTTATTTATTTAGTTTATTGTATTGTCACCAAAATCCAAAGTGTATACAAAATTTCAGATTAATCGGTTGACAGGAAGAGGGTGAAATTTGAATGACTAAATTTGACCCAAGAATAAAACAAACGGGGTGAGCTAAATAAAACCGTTTAATAAAACCGTTTAATAAGAGCCTATTTTGTGGAGGCCGTTTGATTGTACCGCTGAATCGTACTATGGGCCGTACCAACCAGTACGTATAATAAAATTGACGACTGACATACTGTAAAATATAAATATATATATTCACAATTAAGCTGTTTTTTCAACTTGGAAATTCCTTAATTGCCTCTTTTATTTTTATTTCTATAAATTTCCGCTCTAATTTCAAGTTGGCTTAGCGCCAACGGTTTTTTAATTAATTCATGTGGTAAATTGGTAATCTTATTTTGTTCAAGCAAAACTGCTTATACATTTTACTTTATTAACTAAACCACCTTTCGTGCTGACTTGGGAATTTAGGAGTGGTGGTGTCCCGTTGCCACTCCCAGACATTTTAAAAGTTATTTAAGCCTACCTCTTCGATGTCTCTTTGCCGACCGACATCACATCCCACAAAACAACTGTCAAAATTTAAGGAAGCTTACCACGAAACTTCATCAGCAATGTCAATATTTAAATCAAGCTCTGAAACTTTTTGATAAAAGTACATACAAAATCTGCAATTGAACAGCCCTGCGATTCTGTAACTCACTTTTCGATCTCACACAGCGGTTTTCGCAGCGGCGGTCGCGCTCAAACAGTTTTGAAGCAGTCATTTTATGATTTGACATTCTGATAAGAAGGGAGCTTGTAGTTTATTGTTTATCAGAATGCCAAATCGTAAAATGAGAGTTACAGAATCGCAGTGCTGAGTTTGAAGAACGACTCTAGAGATACGGTTGTATAAGGTTCAATAAATAATAATTATCCACTGGCGCTACGATACGACGTAAGAGCAAATGTTACGATAAGAAATCCAAAAGCACTGATTATCGTGCTTACGCCACTTAAGACAACACTGGTCATTTTGCGAAGTTATTTTTAACTATCTGACCCGGCTAACTTCGTTCCGCCTAACAGTCTAATAATATCGCGTTAACTTTAGTTAAACTTAATTTAGGATTTCATTAAGGTAATAACATTAATACAAGTTCTTTGCAAATACAGAAATGTTTTATTGCTTGCCATTGCGAAAGAAGAATGTCAGTTTTACACATTAGGCTTCTTCTCTCTAGCGCCAATATTGCGGTACTGCATGTTAAAGCACTTTCTGATATACAAAATTTTTTGATAAGGTAACACATGTCTTCGATCAAGATCAAAGCCTGGTTATGTATCTCCTCATTTACCTCAAGATCGGAATTTCTTGAACTGACACGAATTCAATGTAAAATGATGCGTAGTTTTGTCAACAGATGGCCCCACATGCTGTTAGCATTCGTAAAATTTATTTATTTATTGTTATTCGATAACTTTCCTATATTTTATTACTTATTTTGCTATTCGGAGCGGAGAATAGATTCCACGAAAAAAAGAGATAACTAACATCGGTCCGGCCGATCTCGAGTTATAAGTGGTGTAACTAACACAACTTTGTTTTATATATTTAGACTAGCTGCCCCCGCGAACTTTGTTTCCCCTTAATGTGATTTTAGTTAGCCTACCTTTTAGTACATACCAACATGGAACATTTTGCTATGCTATCCCAGACTGTTCCGTTTTCTGGAATGAAAACTTTTTAGCGTTTCAGAGTTCAGGTCATAAGATTTTAATAAACAAATAAAAAATAGGGGTTGATCGTAGAGGGGTGAAAATTAGGGGTTGTATGTAAATTAAATTAGGGGTTCTATGCTGTATCATAAAAAAATAAATACAAAAAAAAAATTGTCTAAAAAATAATTTTTTTTTTGGGTTGGACACCCTTATCACTTAAGGGCTTTGAAATATAGATAGTAGCCGATTCTCAGACTTACTGAATATGTATAAAAAATTCATAAGATTCGGTCGAGCCGTTTCGGAGGAGTATGGGAACGAACATTGTGACACGAGAATTTTATATATATACTAGCTGACCGGGCAAACGTCGTTTTGCCATATATATCATTTATAATAAAAAAATAGGGGTTGATCGTAGAGGGGTGAAAGTTAGGGGTTTGTATGTATTTTTTTAATGCTGTATCATAAAAAAATAAAAACAGAAAAAAAATTCTAAAAATAAAAAAAAAATATTTAGGGGTGGACTACCCTTTAAATTTAGGGGGATGAAAAATAGATTTTGTCCGATTCTCAGACATACCCAATATGCACACAAAATTTCATGAGAATCGGTCGAGCCGTTTTGGAGGAGTATGGCAACGAAAACTGTGACACGAGAATTTTATATATTAGATTAAGAGTCTGTCAATCGTAAGGTATTAAAATTTATTATTATAAATAACTGCTTCAAAATGTCGTGAGGATAATAGTTACGGCTGGCAAATATGTTGTAAAAGAAAATTTGATCACAACTAAGTATAAATAAAATAAAGCCTGTAATATTAAGAGTCATTTTAATGTATCACAAATTTCTTATAATTATCTAATAGGGTGACTCACGTAAGCCACGCAGTTACAGCAAAGTTTTTTTTAACATCTCATTTGGTATTCTCTTAAAATTTGTTTTTTTATAATTGCGTGAATTAAGCGCTTTGTTAGGCAATCCTAAAATATAAGAGTATACCGTAGAGCATAAGTGAGATGCGTTATTAGAATCATTCTCCAGCGCCGGTATTATGTAACTATCAACAGCGACAGCGATTGGGATCCTGTAATAAATGTTGAGTTTTTATCGCAAGGACCATCGGTGAAGTTACAGAGTATCGGCACAGGTAATTTTTATAACAAACCACATATTAACAATTTACTTAAAATAATATACAGAAATAGGAAAAAAACATTGATTGCAAATCGTGCAGTTTGTACCGTCGTACGTGAGTCAATAGTTCCCGATTTTACATTATAGTTTTAAATACGTTAAATCCTAAAAATAATTTATAAAGCCTGACAACTAATATATAATGATGAGTACAATATTTGGTAAGATTAATTTGCTGCTAGCACTATTAAAAATTATGATTTTTTCTTTGTAAGATAAAGACCAGTCACCACTCCACCAGTACATACAATCTGCTAACCAAAATAATACCACGTTTTACATGCAACAACCGCCATCTAGTGATCGGCATGAAAATTAACTAATTCATAAAACACCATCCATCCATCCAGGGATACAATTTACATTACATTTTATACATTAATGCATATTACAACGAGATATTCTTATTATTTCCTTGACGTATTTGATTATGTATTTTTAGTCACTCTTTTCTTTTTCATTGTTCGCGTCATCTATTACTTTTGGCCTCTTAAGCTTTTCTAACGTCTTATCCTTAACAAGGTTACGACTTCTGTAGTTTTGGAAATAGAAGTTGAGGAAGAGAAAAGCAAAGAAGAGTGTATTTCCGCCAATGAAAATTGCAACTCCCTTCGTCGGCGGGCACTCAGTCTTGTTGACTGCCACAATGTAGTGAGCTATTATGCAGAAGAATTGCAGCTGTAAAAAAACAGGTATATAATTTTGCGATACAGTGGGAATAAGAATGGATGAGGAACAATATTTTATTCATATATCAGTATGTAATTAAAAAGTTATTTTTTTAAATTTCAAGTCAAACGTACAAACCTACATTTTACAAATATTAACTTTATTTTATTGTATAGGGTCACATTTGTTTGCACAGATTTTAAGTCGAACAGATAATATTTTTAATTTAGTAAATTCTTGTTTTTAGCAAAATAATTACATTGTCTGTTTTTACCATTTTTATTCTTTGTGCAACTATCCTATACTCTGTGGCAGATCATTCTATAGTATTTAAACCGTTTTGTAGTCTGTGACTGTGACCATCCAGAGTACTGAATAAGCAAGAAAAAAATAAAGATTTTCTTTAACTTTATCAAATGCTGCTACTTTTCGATCAAAAAGCTTCACAATCTTCTAAATTTGAGGTTCTATAATATGACTACTGTTTTATATTACTTTTAAAATATTTATAATAAATAACAACAGTTTTTAAAAAAACATAATTTGGCGGTACCGTGTAATGATTGTCTATTATAATAGAATAGTTTTAAGTTAACACATTGAACCTATAATATTTAGTTTATTTTTACACAAATGGTTTAAATACTGGAACAGTAGCATCAGTCTATAGGTAACGTAATTGTTAGTATTAAATTTTCCAGTTCAGAGTAAGTAAGATGAAATGGGAATTTTAGTAAATTTCTGTAGGTACTAAAACCAGCGTTGAGCCGTTTCATTTCGCTATGGAATAAGGTGACCTTTGTACTTGTGGCTCGCTTGCGACCCCTACATTAATTAGCTTTTTCGTTTTAGTAAGCAGTATTATCAAGCACTCTTAAGATATCATCCAAAGCAAGGCGTTAAGGAAACAAAAAGATATCCTCGAAGTAACAGAAAACCTACTACTAAGTAATATAGATGTCGCAGCCAACTAGCTTAATTAGCCGTTCAATCAACAGCCTAGCTGCTTCACTAAACAGCGCCGTTCAACTAGCGTCCTGAATGATATTAAGACATTTGATCAAACAGCTAGGCAAATGACTTAAATCGACGACGTTACATTACTTGCCTATCCTGTTAATTTCAATTTAGATCCACTTTCTGCCGCCAACTCCATTCTGTCAATAAACCGTCGGCAAACATTAAATTTGATGATGTTTTCCGAAGTTTAATGAAAAATAGTGTGGAAGCGTGTAGTGATACTAAGATTAAGAGGAAAAACACTAATAAGTTACATATTAAATAAAGAATTTCTTATGTCAGATATTTCAGCTTTTTTAAGTCACATGATTGTACGAATGGCCTACGCATTGGCTGCAGTTTCTTACTTGCTACGGCTGAATATAATTCAGGCCGCTAGTTAAACGGCGCTGTTTAGTAAAGAGGCTAGGCTTTTGATTGAACGGCTACTTAAGCTAGTTGGCTGCGACATAGTCTATAAACATTAAATGAAGGAACAGATGTAATCTGAGTTCATGGTGCAAATAGTGCTGTAGCGCCACTGGATTATGCATTATTATTCATATACTAGTAGACTCGGCCAAGCGTTGCTGTGGCTAAGATTTTTGTTATATTACATAGTAGTAAACTATTCATGAGAAACGGCAGGAGAACACCGACATAAGGATCAATACCTAGGTACGAATAAAGAGCTTTTTCTAGCGGTGGTATTTTAATAAAAAAATAATAATAAAAGGGCGCTTATTGTGACGTAACTATAAAAGATAGAGACATGCTGCCGCGACATTTTTTATAGATAGTGATGTGTCCTGAAAAATTGTAATACATTATTTTTTTCTATCATTAATATTTTTCGCAGCGCACGCGATTGAAGGTAGTTTTTTGTTTATTTTTTTACACCTTGGGTTAGATTATTCAAGTTTTAGTAAGCATCCCTATTTTGAAAATGAAACATAGCCTATGTCACTCGGGAATAGTGTAGTTTGCCAACGGTGAAAGAAGTTTTGAAATCGGTCCAGTAGTTTCGGAGCCTATTCATTTCAAACAAACAAAAAATCAAATCTTTCCTCTTTATAATATTAGTATAGATGAATCTATATCTCAAAAAGCAAGAAATATAAACATATTGAAAAACCTTACCAATTGTAATTTTGTCATATACTTCTTCCAAAAGATGTATTTGGTGACTTTAGGGCCTAAAGCTGCTAACCCATAGTACGTATACATGAATACGTGTACCAGCGCGTTCATGAATCCAATGAACATCAATGTGTATGACGGCCAGTATTTTAAGTACATCCATGTTCCGATCATCATCACAGAATGATGGTACAAATGTAGAAACGTCACTTGGCTATCTTTCTTTCGTAAAACGAAGAATATTGTGTCCAGTAATTCCGTAACCTTTGCAGCGAAGTAAATCCAAATATCTAATAATATCTGTAAGAAATTGCTTGTGTCAGTTTATAGAAATAAATCTCAAAATCTAAGATAATATTTTTACTTTTTGAATTGTAACTTCTCTTATAACAGTGCAAAATTTTAAGATTTAATTAGTAAAGTAGTATTTTAACGAGAATGTATCAAAAGTACAGATTATATACGTTCCATCAACACCATAAACAATAAACTACAAGCTCCCTCCTTATCAGAATGCCAAATCATAAAATGACTGCTTCACGACTGATTTGAGCGCAACCGCCGCTGCGAAAACCGCTGTGTGAGTTTGAAAAGTAAGTTACAGAGTCGCAAGGCAGTTTTTTTTTTTACTTATGTAACTTTAATGACGTTGTGGTTTATGACATTTTCCTTTGAATAATTGTAATGTAGAGGGAGGGTAAAACTTGCTGAGTTTCTTGCCCGTTCTTCTCAGAACAAGGCTTCCTGGTAGTTTTGCGAACGGATGGCGTAGTCTTGCTCTTTCGCGAATTTTGTAAATGTTTTTGACATTCATAAGCGTCCCTAAGACGCATCTAAATTGAATGAACGTATTTTTGATTTTGATTTTTTTGATTGATTAAAAAAAAGATATTGTCTAATAGGAAAACACTAGGTGCGTCCCGCGATTTACTCGTTGTAATTTGTTAATTCCATCGGCTTCTGTAACAATTTCAGTCCGACCCTTAGTTTCTAAATAGCCAATGAACTCTTTCATTATATAAATTCAATAAGTCTTTTTAAAACAATTTGACAAAGCGATAGCCAACCTCCATTACATATGAAAAATTGATAACAATAATAAAAATAAAAAAGGGCCTCCACGTGATAATAAACAAAATTATGCACTTTCAACGTAAGATCATCAAAACAAGACAATTATATCTGAACAATACATAGAGAAAAATCAGAGGAAAAGAAAGAGAAATGGAAATATATGTAGGAGGCTTTTACCCTAAAAGGGACCATACAATACTACTGCTAAAAAAATAACTTAAATATTTACAACTTAAAATACAACTAACCAATGTTTGTATGGATTTATTACTAAAGCTCTAATTAATTAATAATAAAATATTGACGGAAAAACTTAAAACTGTCATGGGTAAATAACAATTAGTTTATGAATTTTTGTCATATTTGTAAAATTATAGAAAATATTTAGACAAGTTGACGTCAAAATCAGTCAAATATACGTTTGCCCTTGGTTATGTGTGCTTTTCTCATTTGTGGGATGACGCGATTAGCTTAGATTAAATGGCCTTAATAACTGTGTAAAAATGTTTGCCCATTTAAGTGTCGAATTCTCTACCAGTTTTTTCAGTCAAAAATGAAAATTAATTCATATTTTTAAGCTCAACCTATAACTCCACGCCAGTATCAATATAAGGATAGTTTTACCGCCCAAAAGAGCAGTGTTGGCCTTGTGGCTTCAGTATGCGACTCTCATCCCTGAGGTCTTAGGTTCGATCCCTGGCTGTGCACCAATGGACTTTCTTTCTATGTGCGCATTTAACATTCGCTCGAACGGTAAAGGAAAACATCGTGAGGAAACCGACATGTCTTAGACCCAAAAAGTCGACGGCGTGTGTCAGGCACAGGAGGCTGATCACCTACTTGCCGATTAGATTAAAAAAATGATCATGAAACAGATTCAGAAATCTGAGGCCCAGACCTAAAAGAGGTTGTAGTGCCAATGATTTATTTTTTTTACCGCCCAAAAGGCGGGTAGTTGAGGATAAAACGATATACTCGTACATTAATGTAGTTAAAATATTAAGTATTATTTTTAAAGGAACTCCGATTCGAGGCCCTGTACGAACACCAAAGGACACTTCTGTCGATGTATTTAATTATGCTCATACAGGGAAGGAAAATATCTTGAGGAAATAAGCGCGTCAAACTGCTGAACACATATTTGCCAACAAAGAAAAAATATTAAGCCTAAGGTAGTTGTCCCACCGCCGACAATGAACGAGAAGCTAGTCGAACTAGAATTAGAAACGAGTTGGCGAGAAATGAAATAAAACGTTTATTTGATAAGAAAATCCGCACGATCAGCCAAATATAAATAGGCATGCAAATGTCATATTAATTTTTATAATGTCATAATAATAAGTTATTTAGAATTGGTGTCAAACTTATGGTCATATACTCGCCCACGCTATAAAGGGACCTTGCCGTTAAAAATTTAATCACCTTCCCCTTGAAAAAATAACACGGCAGTGATCTATAACTAGCAGCAACTATAGCAGCGGAAAGCGATTTGTTCCGATAGTTTGTCGCTGGGCTATAAGCTAGTGTACGAGTGAGACGGGCGATTACTCGCGCTACTCGCTACTACACAATTGCTATCATAAAACACATCATAGTCGTCTGAACTAGACAACAATGATTCAAATGATTGTTTGATATTCATAATAAACAAAAATACGTGTACTTTCAGATCAGCACTCTAGAGAAATAACTGCTGCCGCTGGTTGGTCTCTCGGCGTGAGTTCTGATTTATCTTGATATTAGTTCTGATTTATTTTGTTCTTTGATAGCTCTTGTCGCTCAGCGACGAACTGGTGGAGCGAGTCCTCGCCGGCAGTATGAACATTCAGCGATCAACTATTTATATATGCATCTCTTTTTTTTACACGGAATGTAGGGGAAGATTGTTACCCTTCGTACGCGGGGCACATTCATACAGTCGAAATAAAACTTGAACGAAACAAAGTACAGTCTTGTTTTTGTATGTGTGCATGAGTCGAGGTACGAACTATACATAATCGAAGTTTCGCGAAATTCGCACCGATGAGAATGAAGTTACAGGCATGGACGTGTTTTCGCGCTCGGTAAGTAATTTTTTGATCAATGTTTTTGTCTCTTGTTACCGTAGATAAAATAAGTTTTCGTGTAGAGTATTCTATCAGTAACTAGCAAAATATACTTAGATACGTCTCCAATACTTAATTTATGACGTTTTCCTATTAATATTAAAATAAGTTATATTTTGTTGTTATTCAGTTAGTGGGGTACTTTCGGACAGCACTAGATGGGGCACATTTGAACGAATTGTACAACTAAATTTGTATGAAAATATTTTGTCGACACGAACTGTAATTTTCATACAAATTAAGTTTTCGACTTGCTACATACAAATAATAATAAGGCATCTTGACTAAACCCTCTGGTAGGTAGGAAAGATTGTGTTAGTGTGCTAATTGCTCTAATATTTCCATTAACTTTGTCCTGTGTTGCTATCATTGCTATCGTCGATGTATTTTTATTACCTATTTTTATTATCTTTATTAAGGTTGATTTTGATGCATGTGAACCAGATGCTTTGAATAATTTACCAATCCATCAAATAGTAGTTCCTTCGAAGTCAGTTTTGACACCTTAAGGGTTTCGACTCTATACGCATGTTGTAAGAAGTAATAAAACAAACAAAATGACGACGGCCAGGAAAACCACGAATTTATACTGCCACACCCGAAAATAAGAAGTGCTAATCCGCACCAAAGATTAAAGAATGTGATTCTAAATTTAAGATACCTAACTAATTAAATTTTGGTTTTCTTAAGAAAAGCTATGTAATTTTTGTTCACTATAATTAAAGTATTTTATTTTTGTTTATTAGAAGTTAAATCTTTATTTTTGTGTTTAATTTCATTGCTAATAAATGAATTTTGATTTATATGTGTCGTTTTAATCGCACGTACGGAACTACCCCACAGCGTACGAAGGTACCCTCAACACTGTACGAAGGTGCCCCGTTGATGGGGTAGATTCGTACGTTTTCCAGATTTAGTTTAAATCATAATTATGGTTGAACCATCAGATGAAATCATTTGTCATTTTCTTATATGAATCTCAGATAGTTAGACTATAAATTTAAGCTTGCAGATGATTGATTCATGGAAAAATAAAATAATAAAAAAATAAAATGTGAAAACCGTACGAAGGGTCCCGACCTTCCCCTATATTTGTTGTACGTTTCTTGAGCGAGAAAATAGCCGGTGTAACAACTGCCTCAAGGTTGGCATGACTCTGAGGTGCCAAAAACAGACTCTTAGCTACCCTCTCAAATACATGCGCACACACACCAATTCACACACTCACACATCCATGTCTTATAATACTTGTGTTTGATTAATTGTAACACTAAACCTACTTTTTCTCAAAAAAATGTATTAAATACCATGTATGACTGACTAATTGTTATCTAGTTACCCACAACGGATGCCTTAAGGTGGAAACATACTACTAAAACGCCACGCGACGCAACGTGTCGACACCCGAAATCCATCGTGCACATTACCAACACGTGACACGACTTAAATTCAATTCGTAGAAATTCCACACAGTATGCATTTTCAGTAAGAAACAAATTTAAGGAATATTTTGGTGGTGAAGGCGCCGTTCCGTGGCAGCTTGATATTGTGAGGAAAGGTAGACAAAATTAAAAACTTGCAACTCATACAAAAGTCTTGTAATATAATATTTTAATAAAACTTTCTGCTTGTATTCATTTGTTCGGCTATTTTTTCCCATGCATTATTTCTTACAGTATGGTCGCTGTATTGAGCGAATCTCATGTCATATAGAACAGAATATTGTTTCACCAACTCAGTTAATTGTTGGTCGTTCATTTCGCCAAATAAATAAATCCAAAAATATGTAAGTATATAAATTGACTTTTGTGCCAAAAACTCGAACGTATGACGCTTGGCGTCAACAACACGACAACACGCCGATCCAAATCGATTGGATGTTACCGCGTGTGATCACATGGCGTGTTGTATATGTGCACCTAACCATATTAAATATATGGGATTGATAAGTACTGACATGCGTCGGATGGCGTGGTGTAGCGTCGCGTTTTAGTAGTATGTTTCCGCCTTAGTGTGGGCACTAGCGATATATGAATTGTGTCACAACCTATTTGTGATGAATGAAGTTTTTATTATTATTAGGCTAAGTTTTATAGAAAGTTTCAGAAACTTAGCGCTAATAATATAACTGTGTTATCAACTGTGAAACATTACATACCGTTTCTCTAGTAGATTTATTATGCATGTGACATGCAGTTGGTGCAATCCCATATTCAGACATCATGCTTGCGTACTGAAATATTAAATTACATATTATATACTTATTTTATTTTTGCTCTCAAATACATGTTAAAATGAAGACAATCAGAGGGAAAATCGCATGAGAACTCAAGAAGGCGCATCGTTAACCAGATCCAATACATCTTCCTCACAATCGAGTATCCCATAATATCGCAGAATATCGACTCAAGAGGGGACCCTTTGTATCGAAGTCGCATAGGCCCGCCAAGCATCCGCGAATAATCGATGTAAATATATAAATATATATTATATGACTTTTTCATTTTAATTCAAGGCTTAACAATCGAATTAATGTCTGGCAAATTAATTTTTACTTTTTCTTATCTTTAAATAACATAATATTAAAATTACAGACATTATAAAATACTTTAAAATGTTTATAAAAAAAAACAAAAACCGCGTATAGCAAATAGTTAGCATTGTCAAAAATGTCTGGCAATAAAAAAAGTATGTCAGGTAGACTTATTTAAAAACGAAAAATAAAAATTACGCTTCTTAAAATGCTTATAAAATCCAGGATTATTACTTGGACAGGATGCGCACTAATGAACGCAACCGCTACCGCAAGCCAGATAGCCCAGACTCTAACCGAAAGTGCAAGAAGGAAGACATATCACAAAATCAGCTGACCTAAAATTCTTACTTTTCAAACGTTGCTAGCTCCCGTACTATATAGATATTACAACCTCATTGACGATATTATCAGCCTCAGTAAATAAATGACACTCTATGCATATGCACTGAAGGTTATAAAAAAGTAAGTTATGAAAAAGGTTCAATCATTATAATTTAATAAAAATAAATTACACTTTCTATATATCTACAAAGTATTTTTTATGATGGATAATCTTAATACCAAAGGGCCCGCGACTACGTTGTTGGCCTTAATTGGGGTTGGTTCCACAGTTTGTTGGAGCGCGGCTGAAACAAATTCGTATTCTGCCTTGACATCCGATAATAAAGCTCAACTGCAGGTCCGAACAACTCCTCCGAGTAACACACTTATAGATCACATTTTAAACAAGTACAGTGCCTCTATTTGTACGCGTTGAAAATGGAACAGACCTAACAGGTGAGACAATTAAGGGAAAGAGGAAATTCTGATTGGTTAACGGTTTACCAATCAAACGAAACGCGCTTTAGCATATTAGTTATAATAATATTAGCGGCGCTACAACCGTAAAAAAAAGTGAGGTTCAGATGCGCACATAGACAGAAAGTCTAATGATGCACAGTCCAGGATCAAATGACTTTAAGGCTAAAAGTCGCATGCTATAGTCACTAGGCCAATAGAGTTAATATTTTTTTGTTTATTTAGAACCATTTCAACTTACCCTGTATACCATGAACGCGGACAATACGACTTGGAAGAAGTTATATAGCACAAGGACGGCTGTCAACTTGTAAGGTTCTCGCTTGGTCATAAGTGCTGGTCCTATTTTCAATACGAAGAGAAGATACGCTGCCAGGATCATAAGTATCGGCCCTGGAGTTCTCATTAAAGGTAGTTCATCTAACTCTTTGACTGTAATATGAAAAATATTTTTGTGAATAAGTGTATATAATGACTTTTATAAAAAGAAAGCGAAAGCTTATATATTATTACTAATCGATGTACACCTATATATTAAACATAACATTTTTCTATATATTTATTAGTGATTACTAATACATGTTATAAAACAAAACACTTAGAATACATAGAAAGCCAAAATAGATTACATAGATAAACAATATATTATATGAAACATTAGAAAAAATTCAAGAAAACTGATATAATTAACATTAATAATACTTAATAAGTAATTTAAAATATTTTAGAAAAATTAAATGCATTTTATTTCCACCTCCCGGGCCAAAACAAAATACATTTCTAGTATTCTAATGTTAACGACACAATAAATTTAACTGTATAGGATAACATAAATAATAATTATCCTATACCAATACCTGTTGTGAACATATATTGACCCAACATTGTATGCAAAATAAACAGCATAATGTGTGAAAGACACTGCCATTATTGTTTATACTTCTTAGAAAAATGATTCATGGTCGTGGTTATAAAGCTACTAGAACATTAGCGGTTTAACGATAAAAATAATTAAGTTTAAAATGTCAATTGAATATAATAATTTTACAAGAAACCAACGGATAAGCAAATAGCATCTTCACTTTTATTGGCAGATATTTAAGATGCAATGCGATAATGAAAGGGTAATAACATTTATAACAGTATAAAGATTGTCTACTACTATTAAAAAGTGGAATACTTAATTGTTTGATGTATTGAATATGCTCCAAACCACTGGACCGGTTTTAAAAATTATTTCATAATTGTAATCCTACATTATCAGAAAATGAACATTGTATAAAATTATTTTTAATAAAGTTAATGTGTGAAATCTTCGATAAGGTGTGAATAAATAAAAATCCCTATATCGCGTACGCTGTGGAAACTATTGGCAATAGAGCAAAGCGATGTACAACAGTTTTATAGAAGTTATCAATGTCAACAAAAAGCTGATTTAACTTTACAGTTTGTTAATAACATATTATCTGTCAAACAAGGCCACGATTACACGATAATTATGTTAATCATCCTAAAGGTGGGAACTGACCAAAGTTATGAGCTGTAATGTAGCATTCGCATCGTGCGTGTTACGCATCGAGCATGTTACGCTGTGTTTTAAAATCGGTGTAACATGCTCGTCAAAACTCTGTGCTCCGCTTTCGCCGCCAGTTTTCACGAGATGGCCGACAACGGGGACGCGTTGGTATCTTTGATTCTACTTAATTATCAAATTAAGTTTCATGCAAATTAAGAAGAAGAAAAAACGTTACTGGACTGGACAACTTATTTAAAAACAGAGGCGTATGTGGTGGTTTGTCATTGATAGAAATTTTAAAAAACCAAATGATAACTGGACAGTATAAAAACTTTGTACGCATGTCTCCTATCGATTTTGAACAACTCGTGAATTTAATTGGACCAAAAGTACTTAAAAAAGACACAATTTATAGAAAATCATAATCATGATCACTCGCGACGTGCGACACGTACTGACTGAATCGCGTAACGAGCAAAGGATTCGTCGAAAAACCGACAGCCGGGTGGAGCACTCAAAGCGAGCAACGAGCGGCTTGTTGCTCGCGGATTTCCCCGTAACACGACGTACTGACTGCACGAATGTTCGCTGTGTAACGTGTTACATTACACCTCGTAACGTTGGTCAGTTCCCATTTATACAAATGAATCACTTCGTATTCAATATAAATTTCTTTAAGAATTTTTCAAATGGGACATACGAATATAAGTTACCATGAGTGTTATAATGTTCAATATTTAAATTGACATAACAGGGCTCTAAGTGAATTCATCTATTCGAAAATAAACACGAAATATTTGGTGAACGATTCCGCTGTGGAATATGAGTGTAGTTTAAAATATAACCATTACTGTTGAAGAGGTTTAGCTACCAAGTATTTTAGTTGCATATATTCCATTAAAACTTGTTCGTTATAAGGCTATACTTAAAAAAAATACTCACATTGGCTTTTAGTGAGATCCCATTCGGGAAATCTTAAGCTAAACGCAGAAGTCATTGTCTTGGATCTGAAATAAAATATTCATTTAATACGTATTGACGCCACTTACAAATGGTGAAAACTGACCCTCTTATTCATAAAATCAATTTCACAATTTCAAATAAATAAATACTTTGTTCTGTCTGTCAAAGTGGGTCTACGCTGTGATGAAAAATAGACTTTAGAACAGAGCAGTTAAACTGATTTAGTTTTTATGAGGAAGGGGGTTATTGTATGGACTAATAATTGAGGAAACTATTGTCCTAATACCTTAGTAGCAGCAGCTATTTCATCACTAAAGCACAATTTTATGTAAGACTTTTTAGTCACAGTGTTTTCATTAAAGCATTAGGTCACTTAATACATCTTGCTAGCACTAGCTAGATATTCTAAAAACATTATAATAATTATATTTAACACTGTGTACAGTTTGAAACTTTCCATTACAGTAATGAACAAAAAGTGACAGTGATATCTTTAGTAATTAATTAATTTGGTACTAATTCGTTAAGTAATTATTGCGCACTTTAAACGTAAATCTAAACATTCCTTTTAAACCAGTTTTTATATTAAGAATTAATTTGATTAATATTATTGTTGTTCACCTAATGATGTGAAGATGATGTAAAGGTTTAGACAACATGTGTTTTTTAGTTCTAGGTATTTTAATATCAATGGCGCTTTTAGGTCTGGGCCTCAGATTTATTCTGTGATCATTTCTAAAACTAGGGGATCAACCTTCTGTGCACACACACCGTCGAATTTTTGGGTTTAAGCCAGTGTTTCGCAACGTGGGGCCCACGCCCCACAGGGGGCAATTCGAAAATGGACTCGACGTTTTTTGTTTTGAAAATTTACTCACTATGTTACTTTTACAATTCCCTTGTGATTTTTAAAACCTATCTTTTTAGTTTTTAAGTAAACAATTCAGATTTTTTATCATACATTTTTTTTATATAAAAACGACGGGAAAACGACACCCATTTTTAGTGGGTCCGTTGCCGGCCTTTGAGGGAGGAGTAGACTCTAAGTTTGAATACTTGAAGGTCGTATCTGTCAGGGAAGAGCCCTACCGGGAGTCGATTCCACAGTTCGCTAGTTCGCAAAAGAAAATGCCTTTTGAAACGGACTGTGGAAGAATTTTATAAAGGCTAAGGTGGGTTGGGTCATGGCACAATAAAGGTTGGGAACCACTGCTCTAAGGCTTACCGGTTTCAGTGTTCGGTTTCGGAGAGAGTGTTTAATGCGCACAAAGACAGAAAGTCCATTGGTGCACATCGAACCTACGACCCAGGGATGAGAGTCCCAACAAAAAGGCCAATAAAAAGCACCATAATATGTTACGAGATATCAATCACGATAGTACGTTAAAATGACGGCTTTGCAGACATTATCGTGAGTGAATAACGTACATGAGGCGAGAGTTTATCAAAATATTCAAGAAAGTTTTTTTTTTCTGATAACCGAGTTAACTAGGAACGACACATTCACGATGAATTTTTATATAGTTCTCCAATGCACATTACGTTAGAAATGAATTTTCATACAACTTTGTAAATCGCGTTGAGTGACGGCGACAACGAATCTGCCTCATTATCAAAAAAATTATCACGAATTTTCCGAGCGTGTTAATCTGTAAAATACTACACGGATTTTACGAAGTTTATGTTTTAAAAAGTGTATAGGATTCGATAAATAATGATGTTAAGGAAAATCTTCACTGATATTCATAACTTGCAGACATAATTATATATATAGTATATAACTGTCACTTGTTTATGTCCTAAGTTTTTGTGAGAAATAAATAAAGATTATTATTATTATTGTATTTCGTATATATAGCTGTGGTTTCTACAATTATTTTTTAGTATATTTTAATTCTATTACTAAGTTTATTTAATTTTCATCTAAAAATTAAGATTATTATTTATTACAGCGATCCTGATAATAAATAATAGGACCTATCTAATTACCAAAATAATAAATATTATACCTTCCTTGACTTATCAATAAAAAATACAGTTGAGTGAAATTATATAATAGAACATTATCGATATTCCTGATAAGGTTTTATTTGAACGATAGTCATGGATTGGAAATTGAATAGAATGTGGGAACTTCGCCGCTCAAATAGAAGAAAATTATATTTTTCAATTCGTTACCACGACATTTCGGCCACGGCGGCATGTTTAATAAGTCAAGAGCAGCGCCATTGATATATTTTTTTTTAGAATATATTGTTAGTTGAGTGAACCACATCAAAATTGCTTAAAAAAACATCGGAATTGACATCGTACACATCCGTAACACGGTAGAAATGAATTATTAATTTTAGTTAGAAAAATTAACAATGACAAAATTTGTTATATGGTTTTGGCCCCGCCCGGTATTCTAACTGGCGACCATATAGTTGCAATTTAATCACATTAATGATAATCACTTTGATTCATTACAACGTAAAAAAAACATGGTTTGGTTGAAGAGCTGCTTCAAGAAAAGAGCGTATAAATTCTTAAAAGGCCGGCAACGCACTCGCGAGCCCTCTGGCATTGCGGTATCACTTAACATCAGGTGAGCCTTCTGCTCATATTACACTTATAATACATAATATTTTTCACCAACATCGAACTATTGTCTTCGGTAAAACATTGAATAATTCAGTATTACGAGGCTAATTAAAAACCTTTCAGAGTCGAAACTTAGCGCCAAAATCTTACGCCATTTCTTTCTCAGATTAAATATAAAAAAATAATCCCACAATACTTATTTAAAAAAAACGTACTTACTTTAACACAATCACATTGAGAAATAAATATGTTACATGCGCTTCCCTTCGCGTCTATTACAGATTTGTTGACGTTTAATGAAAAGATTCCTATTTATGTAAAGCTGTTAGTTCAAGATGGATTTGCATATCTCATTGTTTGATCTATCATAAGGTCAAATTTGTACAGCGCTGAAATCCAGTTCTAGTCTAGATGTACTTCTGTGGGACTTGCAAAAAACATATAATGTTTCGTTTTTATAATAATGACAATTAAATACCATATAAAACAAAAAAAACATAAACAGAGCTGCTGAGAACAGTGTTTTGAGGCCTGTGACTAACGAGTTGTCAGAATACTTTAGTTAGGTCTTATGTGTAGCAAAATACACATTAAATAAAAATTAATAAGTTAAGTAAACAAAAAAAAATGTATATAAACTTTTTTTAATTAAGTAATAATTGGGATTATTTAAATTATGCTATTATTAAATTACAAACCTTACAAACAGATATTTTTAATTTATCACACACAAACATATAGAATTGACTTACAAATATAAACTTTAATGGATTAAATATTAAAATTCTGAAAAAATATAAATAAGTATAAAATATAAGTATTTCGTTAGGTCTTTAGTGTAGGGTTAGAATCCCTTCTGAAGTAAAGTCCTCCTCCATCTTAATGTAATAATACATACTTCCTTATATTGTTACAGCTCTAATATCTTTTGACTAGAGTATTCCGGTCTATTTGTGTGGTTTACTGATTCGGCCGGGTTATTTCGTCACTTTACACGTCTACCTATTGTCTGAATATCGTGCTAAGTCTTCTGCACAAGGCCATTTTATCGTGGCCTCTGACTTTATGTACTTTTAAAAATTAAGTAGACTTTTTTCTATCATCTTTTGGCGATTTGTTAGTTTAGATTTTAGATTGAGCTATAGGGCCATTGGTCCATGGTGTCTATTTCTACTATTGAATATTTGAGTTTTTCGTTATGAATAATTTTGCATTTGTGTACAATTAGTTTGTGACTTTGTCTTGTGATTTATATTGCAATAAACAGTAAGCGTTGTTCCATTTTAAGTGTATTTTTTATAAAGTAAAAAAAGAATGAATTCCTTCTTTACATAAACTCAAATATTTGATAGTGTTATGTATTTATTATTTCATATTGCTACTTATCCCTCTTATATTGATTATTTCCCCGGTATTCTTAATTATTAAATTCCGCACAAAATTTCTTTGTCTTTATATATTAGTTTTTTGTCTAAACCTGTTTTCTTTAACGTACTAATATATTTTAATTGCGCACACATAATTAACTATTGACGCACAACCAGATTTTCAATCTGGTGTGATAATGGAACATGACAAACTTAAGTTAATTTCTCAAACACAAAAGGAACTTATATTAGAAAGTTTTAAAGTATAGTTTTTTAATTACAGAGGCAATTTGTACCTATTTTTAAAGCAATACGTATAGAAGAATAGAATTAGTTCGGCATTTGTAACCATTATTATCTAGGGGCTGTGCGCTCGCCATGTCGAGCAAAATAGCAACACAGCCGTACCAACCTTTTCTCGAAGCAGTTCAGGCCGACCCCCCTTATAACTTCGTTATGGATAAAATTAGAAGCCAAGCAGGGATTGTGTCGAATGTGTCCTCACGGTATATTTCAAATTCATTCCATATGAACAAATTATAACTAGTCAAATTTCTTATTTATAAAAGCTTGCCAACGCTCGGCACACTGATAGATTGATTAAAGAAAAATAAAATAAAATTTTTAATGTGACAAGCACTTATAGGCAAACATAGAATATAAGAAATAATAAAAAGAAATTAGGCAAAACCAATAATTTAACCGATCATCAAAACTCAAAGTACTAGTCATAGAAGCTTCAAATTTTGAATACAATAATTAGTGTTTATTGTATAAATTAAAAAAAATGTTTTAATTCCAATATTTTGCAATTTCTGTCTGATTTTCTAGATACACTTATGTTATCATATTATATATTTATACAGAATTATTATTGATGCAGTTAATATATCACTGTACCTGTGTATAATATAATAAAGGAATAATAGATACAAAAATATCAGTCAGTATTAAAATACTGACTGATATTTTTGTATCTTTTATTAATTAAAGAAAATTTTAAGTGCAGCAGTGAGTGTCGTACATTACTTCAAGTTAAGCTTGTTAAGCTGTTACATTGAGAGAATTTAAAGTGACTGAGAGA